TTATTATTATTATTATTATTATTATTATTATTATTATTATTATTATTATTATTATTATTTTCAAATATAAGGTTATCTCTACTCATTTAATGAAGATAGTGGTGAGTGCACAATTGACATCTCATGCATTAAAAATCAGACAGAGTATTAAAACGTCGTTTTCTAAAATTTTGAGGTAACGTTTTAATATTATTCAAAAAAAATAGGGCACTTTCGAGATATTTTATTACACTAGTTGATTTTAGCTCACATTTTAAATGATATAGTTAAGGTTATCTCTACTCATTTAATGAAGATAGTGGTGAGTGCACAATTGACATCTCATGCATTAAAAATCAGACAGAGTATTAAAACGTCGTTTTCTAAAATTTTGAGGTAACGTTTTAATATTATTCAAAAAAAATAGGGCACTTTCGAGATATTTTATTACACTAGTTGATTTTAGCTCACATTTTAAATGATATAGTATTTTTTTATATGAGATGACACAATGTTATTCGAGACAGGGAGGACACATGAGTACAATCTCCTAAAATTTTGTTTAAGGATAAATAATTGACAGGCATTTTACACTCCCCCAACAATCTTATCAAAATAACAGAGAGATCCCTTTAATCAAAACGATTTGCGTTCACCCATTGGCCTATGCATTTAACTCTATTGAGTTTAGATATAACATCATACGAACTCGTTCTAGGAGAGCTAGGATCGGCTTCTCCCTTGCGATCAAAATAGCTTATTGTCACAAACCGCAAGATTTTACCCCACTCTAATACTAGAGGTTTCTGAGAAGACTATGGAATTCTCTAGAACACTCTATAATTGTCTATCATATGGATTGTTCTAGAACATTCCAAAGGAGTCTAGTCTTAGGGAGAATCTTAGAGTTCTCTAGAACCCTGTGAATGGTTTCATAGAGTAGTCATTTGTGGAAGATTCTAGAAACTTATAGAGTGCCCACACCTTTTAAAGCATTCTCTAGAAAGTTCTAGGATAGGTGGAAATCCATAACATTCTAGAATATTCATGGGAGGTCTCCTTGGCCTATAAATAGGGGTGGTCCCCTCATTTGGAGGAACAAAAAAAAAATATTGGAGTGTAAAGTATTGTAAAGGTTTACTATACTTAGTGAAGCTCTTTTCACTTTCTCCCTTTCTCGTTTCACTTCATTAGCCTTGTGTTTGCGTGAAGTTAGGCTTGTTAGCATAGCTCGGGAGTGCTAACGCTGCACGGTTACCTTGTAAGAAGAAAAGGTCCGTGACATTATGCACCATTAAAAGACTCGCAAAGATTATTCATCAAAATATCACATTTGTTCTAGTGCTTAAAATGAGACCTACTCCAATGGGCAGGATCCTTCATCGCTAACCAATTATAAGCTTCCTCATCCTCTTTATAGATTCCTCCATAAAAAATCTAAAAACTTAGCATCTGTAGTTGCCTTGGCAGCATTCGTCATCTTCTCTTTGAGTGTCTCTCCCTTGAAGTAAGTCTCGAAGTTGTTGCATAAATGTCTCAGCACAAAACTGATGCTCTGCATTCTGAAGATCCTCTTCTAAGGCCTTTTTTAGACCCTTTTGCTTGTCTGAAATAAAAGTTCATGCAAAATTGGTTCACTATTTGTAGATCATCTAATTAAAGACTCTAAGAATCACTTCCAAGTTTCCTTAGTTTCAGCCTCAACAATGGCAAATGAAATAGAGGATAAATCTGATAGTTTCCATTTATTCCACACGCCACTAAAAGTTTACCTGGATGAGGTCCCATTAAATGATATCCATCTAATCCAACAACTCGTCGACATCCTGCTAAAAACCCTTTCTTGCAACTTTGAATATTGGAGTTTGGTCTGGACCCATCTCGATCTTCACCGCAACTGCTGTCCCGGGGTTGCTTCTTTTCATCTCTTCAAGCACAATGTACTATATTGCATATCATATGTCCCTTCAATCGTTTCAATCCCTTTCGATCTAGCGCGATAGCTACGAGACTTTGCGATTTGTAACACATATTTATTTCTCACCTTCTCTTGGAATTTGGCAATATCAAATTTCTGATTGGTAATCCATGTGTTTAAGTATCTCTTAGACAACCGGTGGAGTTAACAAACTTGTTCTTAGGGACACGGGCACAAGTATGATCAGGCACATATGTATTTACCTGGAAATCTGAAGTTTCACCAACTTTTGAAGCAAAGATTGATCTCTGACAAATTCTTCATCTGAAAGCCCTACATCTTCCTCATCCAATCCGACAGAAATCAACTCATCATCAGTCACATTTTGACCTTATACATTTATAGTGGCACCACCAAACTCCACATTTGGGTCAATGTTATCTTCAAGCAGGATGTCATCGTCACTTTGCTTATAGTAAAATGCCTAGGAAATTGTTCTGCAATATAAAATATAGAATATCTTGTGTTTTTAAATAATTATTTTATAACATATATTGAAGAGAGAAAAAATAATTTTAAAACTATTTTGGGACTAAAGATCCACCACACAGCTCTACAACCATTAATCAAGGTAAAAACAAAAAATCATTTTCCTTTAGGATTATTCTCATAATGCTCCCTGAACTTGGTTCGTTCTTTCTTTAATTTAATTTAATTTTATTTTATTTTTGGTTTTGCGCTCATAATTCATTACACTCCTTAAAAAATGGATAATTCCTAGGATATTGGTCTACACGCACGTTAATTTGTGACTTCCTTTGTGCATTCAATGATGATTTTCTCACATCCAATATCTCTTGGTTTTCTTTATGACAGTCTTAGGATTTATTTGGTTATATTTTTGAATTATGGTGACTTAATTATAGATCTTGAGTTGAATTTGAGTTGTAATTTGAGTTGAAGTTGTAACTTGAGTTTGTATTTAGATGTGCATATTTAAGTTATGAATTGAATTGAGAATCTATTTGAGTTTGTGTTTGAATGGGTCAAAACTTGAATTTGTACTTGGATAGTATTTTAATAAAAACTCAATGGTGATGAAAAATTTTAATAGGATATATGAGTGAGGTTTTATTCATCTCTTCGTTGTGAACGCATAGAAAAAAAACATCTCAATCAGAATTAAAATGAAAAAGTTATGACGTTTGTAAGAATAGAAAAAATATTATTAATTAAATTGAATTTGAGTTTAAGAACTTGGGTTGAAGAGGAAATTTAAACTTAAATTTTACAAATAAATATGAACTTAAAAAAATTGTAACTTAATTTTAAATCTTTTTTGGGTTTTATTCTAAAAAAATCAAGCCCTTACGCTCCCGGATTAAGGGTATTCGGAAATGAGAAAGTTTTGATTGGTAATAAATCTCTCCCTTTCTGCTGTTCCCAGATTGCGGTGAGCGTGGATCGAACACGCGACCTTCAGATCTTCAGTCTGACGCTCTCCCAACTGAGCTATCCCCGCGTTGTGTATCTTCAGTCTGACCAAACATCTAGACATGTGTCTTAATCCTAAAGTTGAAACAAAACGTGTTTGAAACACAAATGACGCTTAAAGATACCCTTATTTACACGAGTTTCTTTTAGCTATTAACGACTGATTCGAGTTTAGAATTTGAGTTTTGTTACAGTAAAAAATTCTCATAAATAATTATATTTAATCTTTTTATTACAATAAAAAACTCTCACATAAAATCACATCTCAATTTGAATTAAAAACTCGAATCAACGAATTAAACGGGTCATATGAGTTTTGAAATCTGAGCGAAATTTCTGTGATCTCTCTCTTTAAACTTTTTTCCTGCTTCTACCCCTTCGTGTCTCCCTATTCTCGTTCCGCCAATAATAATACTCTGACGTCTTATATAAAAATATCATAACATTTAAAAATATAGCCAGCTCATACTAAACTAACAGCACCAACACACTACCGTGAAAACTTTTCTTTTATTTTTTTTCCCCGCTCCATGTGCTATGGGTAAGTCATTTTCGTGTCAATTCATTTATTAATCGTGTAAAAAAATATTAATTTAAACACAATTTGATTATTAAACGTGTTAAAAATATCAACTCAAACATGATCCATTTATAAATTGTGTTAATCGTGTCAATCCGTATAACCCATTTAAATTGATATATTAAATAAATAACTAATATAATAATGACTTATTTAATATGGTTATGACAAGTTTAACATGTTTAGTGGTCAAATTTTCTTTTCCTTTAAGCAAAATAAATGAAATTTACCTACAAATATTAAAATTCACATTATTGATATTTAATATATTATATAAACTTTCATGTTATATCACATATCATTAGATTGCAAATGACATATATAGTTAATCGTGTCAATTCGTGTTAGGAGGTCAACCATAACCCAACCCATTTATTAATCGTGTTAATCGTGACCAAAATCCATTTATAGTAAACTCAAACCCGCCAACTTTATGCGAGTTTCGAATCGTGTCGTCATGTCGCTACCCGAATTACCAACCCCAACTGTAGGTCTTCTTTGGCATCTTCCAAGAGTGACGTGTTACGTTTGGGCAAAACAAATAGTGTAATTTATACCATTCTTTAATAGGTGATACTTTAGTTCATCTTTTATTAATTTTAGCAAAACGACTTCTCACTTCTTAAATCATTTGCAATTTAAGGGTTTCCTCATTAGTAGGCGCCTTTCCTTCATTCATTGATTTTGTTGGTTTATTAATCACAAATTACCAGCGGAAGAACTGGGGAGGTCTTAACACAGCGGTCTCAAGCCTTTTTGTTTGGAACTGCTGCTTCACAGGTTGATTTTTCACTTTGGTAAAATGCATTGGAGAATACAAGAGAGAGTAGGAGGGGACAGAGGAGCTAGGAACTGCTGGAAATTTACTACCATTATTGCATGCCAAAGACTTGACTTTGTTCATCGTCGATTTGACTTTTTTACAAACTTGCATCATAATGAAACAAACTAAACTCGGCAAATACATTCTTAAGAACCATTGCATCTTTCAACAGTTCTAGACCTTGCAAATAAAATTTCGCAACATGTAATACTAGAAACACAACAAATTAATTTATAGGGGTACAAACATTATTGAGACGGTTGGATAGGGTAGTGGAAAAGTCTTTGATTGTACATAGACATTGAATTAAGAAACGACATATCATATCCTGATTAAATTAGGGACAAGCCTTGGCCTATCAATTCATCAGCAAGAACCCTATTAGCAGCTTCAGATGGATGAACAGCATCGAAAAACACGTACTGAGTCGCATTCGAACAAGTTCCCGGCGAGTGAGGATTGCACAGTACTGATGTTGTCTCTACTGTTCCTGTTCCACAGCAACCTCTTCTTGCTTCCACAAAGCCTGCAAAGTTCCAAACACTGACATGTTACTTAAGAACTAATTAAACAATCATTTTTCTTTTTCCTTTTTAACTTGGAAAATGCTTGTCTTAAGTACCATATTGAGATGGGGTCTTGATGACGTCGTAGAGAGGCTTGAAAATGTCGAAGATGACGAGTCTAAGGTCAGAATGTTGTTTTACGAGACTGGCGGCGGCGGCGTTCAACTTCTTGTTGAAGGATTGGGCGTCGGCGTTGATGCTAGAGACGCAGCCTTTCTCATGATATCCAAATAAGGTGGTCGTTGCTGGTAGACATCCCAGTGGTGGGAGAGATGTCACTCCAATTTTCCTAGCTCCCGCTCCATACAAATTCTGTTTTCAAGCAAACCAAACAATTATTAATGTCTTCATATAAGAGAAATGATTTGTCTTAGCATTTTGAGTTCTATGTCGAATTTCAGAATAAGGTAGAGTATATGATTCTTATATATAAAATAATTGAGACTAACAATATATAGAGAACCGATATGTATTTTTTAATATTTATATATTGAGAGACTGGGTTTATCAAGTCAACATACATATTTCTTAATTTTTTAAAATATTTTTTCAAGTCTATGTTGAATTTCAGAATAAGTTATAGTAAATGTGATGATGTGAAATATATATTCATACTAAGAATATGGGTAGATATTTAGCTAAACATTTTCCCTATGTCTCAACTAATTATTGTGTAACAACCTCTAAACTTCAGATCGATTATCAGAAAAGAGGGAACAAGTGCTTAAAAATTAGAATATAGGGTTCATTGTTGCAATATTTTAGCAAATAAAAAAAAGGACCTGAATAAAGCTTGTGAATGAACTAATAAGGAGATTGGAGTACTGGTCAACGGTGTAGACTTTGTTGACCAGAGGATTGATGTAGTAGTTCTGAACGAAATCGCCACTGCCAGCTCCAAGTACATATAGAGCTTCCTTGATGATGGAATCTGCTTTCTTTTGGCCAGCCACTTTTGCCAGCTTTGTCTTGTATTCCTTGAAATAATCCAACTGCTGCGACAATGGGATTGCATGCTGCAACAAAACAAAGGTCGTTCCATAAAAATATTGCTTCTAAAGTTAGATATATAATACCAAAATTAATTGGATATTTAGAGACTGATTAAGATGAAAATCCAGACTAATTATGTTACATTTAGGACTGAAGCTTTCTCGTCGTAACCGGCTGCAGCTGAAGCGAAGTTGGCTCCAATGAGAAGATTCTTCCCTGATGCCTCTGGGCTAAGATATGCCGCTGGGTACTTCTTGAAGCCTAGAGTTTCGGCTGCATAAAGTCATATAGTCCCACTTATCAACATTTCACGTCAAACGAATCGAAATTTCAATACCCATTTGGCTGAAATTGGAAACTAAGCACTTGGAAGACAAAACTGTTTGGACTTTTTTGGTTAAGGTAAGAATTAATGTAGTAATCTCAATTAAGCTAAAACAAATTATAACTTATTTATAATTGATGTAGTTTTGACAATATTGCTCTTTACCGGTGAGGTCAGTGGCAAGTTTCCCATTGCAAAACCTGCCAGTGGCTTGATGGTTGATGAAGTCCCTTCCATAAGGAGGATAATTTGCCTTGAAAAGCGTGGGGCGATAATTGTTGTTTCCCACATCCACTGATGAGTCACCAAAAGCGATCACTGCCGGAACAAGGGTGTCTTGTGCATACCCAACATAATTTGCCAATGCACATACCAAAACAACTAAAGCTCCTCTAATACTGTAGATTTCCATCTTCTTCTTCTTCTTCAACTTGACTCTCTTGTCAAAGTTTTAATAAACTTTCTTGACTTCGAAGTTTGAGATAGATCTTATATTGTAGATCTGAGAATGACCATAGTGAAGCGGCTATTGAATAAGGAGGGTGGTCGTTGTGTCTAGGCATTGAATTGAGTGTCTTTAATTGCTTCTAACAGCATTTAAGACTCACTATTTTTTAACTTGTGTAATACAAATATAACATAACGAACTAATTGCAAACAGGAACTTATAATATTTTGTGTACATGGTTCTTTTTTTTTTTTTTTCATTTATTGAGATGAGTATAAGTGAGAGCCTGTTCACCCATAAGTGTACGGTATCAAGTTTTTATAGTATATAATGAGTGAGTATCGTATTCACAGTTGAGTATTCAATTGCCGCTAAGTACTATGATTATCGTAATTCAAATTTATCTAGGCAACCGAACTCAATGAAATAAAAATAGAACTAGACAAATATAAATATAAAAATAAAATAAAATATGAAAACTTCTATATATGCACATATGTACTAGGGACTTGACGTCACCTTATCATTCCAATGTTTATTGTATCAAGCCAATGCTAGCCAATTCCACTCAGTTCATTAATCAAGTGACCTAATCTAACCTTACTACCTCTCCCGAGCGTCAAACGAAGTCATATGCATGAATACCTGAATCAATATTCCTATCTAACCCATTTACTCATACACTCATTAAGTTTAGCCTTTAAATTAGAGCTCAAATGTCGATTGCTTCCCGGCCTCACAACAATCGAAATCCTAGTTGATAATCAAGGTCTTAATCACCTCCATGTCTCACAATATCCAAGACTCTCAACGAGATTATCTAAGTGTTAATCTCCTTGCAGACACACAACAACCTATGTTTTCCAATTCCGGACTGTGAAATCAATCTCTCCTGAGCGTCAAAATCACAATCTAAAATTATCTAACTCTTTGGCCACATAAATGAGAAACATTAAGCATAAAATATATTAAAATGAAAACATAAATATATTAAAATAGAATTTAACTAACAATTGACAAGATAATGAAAACACGGTTCAAATAAAGCTACATCAAGTCCTAAAATATGAAGCATAGAGAAATACATAACCAAAATCACAAATTCAAGAATAAAAACTAAAAAACTACAAAGAAAAGAGAGAAGGCAGTGAAAACTCTTGTAGAGATGAACTTTAAGTTTTCAAATCTTCAAGAATTTGTCCCACGCATTCTTCAAGAATCTCCAACTCCAAGCTTCACTCTCTAGGAATTTTTTGTGCCTCTCATCCTCTCTAAGTTGGGAACTAGGGTTTCTTTTGCATAAATATACTTAAACATAGAGAAAATCTTAGCCAAACTCATCCAAAGGTCCAAAATTGGCCATCTATATTGATCAAGGGCTGAAAAATGGCCCAAAGTTCATCGACAGCACGCGGGGGGCTGCGGTGGCACGGCTAGTGGCGTGGCCGCGAGCCCAATGTTGAGCGGGCGCGCGCCTCAAGTGGCGCACCCGCGCAGGTGGTTCTGCCTAAGCGGGCCCTTGTGTGGCCTTGAGTGCTTTTTGCTCTATTTTTTTACTCCAAAATGCTACTAAGTCTCATTTTATTATATTCTTACAAAATAACACCAAAAACACATTAAACTAATAAAAAATGCTTGAAAACTCACAAATAATTAATCTTAAAAATACTTGATTTATCGGTAAATATCTTCCTCATCAAAGGCACACCACAATTTATGTTGTGTTTCATTGAATAAGGAGCTGGCGTGGTAGTTGAGGGCATATAATATGACGCAGCAGCTGGTACAGCGAGTTCTAGCCAGGAGAGAAAAGTTTGCATGTGATGGATTTATTTTGGTAGTTGGAGAAAATTGCTGACTTGTTTCAACTAATTCAACGAAGCATGGTAGCCATCCATTTAATTGGCCACAAAGAAAGAAAGAAAGAAAGAAAGAAAAAGAAAAAAAAGGTGATTGTGAAAATGTTGTATTGACTTGATGATCGGATGTTGGATATTTCAGTTTTGATCAATATTTATGTATTCTTATTTTTCTTTTGTTTTTGAGCCAATTTATTATTTTATCTTTTGTACTTTATAAGTGCCAAGAAAATTAAATAAAAGTCAAATTGACCCAGAATTTCCAAGAAAAACATGTAAACAAAATATAGTGCGTCCAATATGGACCAAGCAAAATAATATATGTTTATTTTTAATTTTTTATAAACAAGAAATTTTATAGAAAACACATGTACGTAGATTATACCAGGCAACCATTTTTACTTTCCAGAGCCAAAAAAAAAAAAAAAAGCTACTACTTTTTCTCCCTCTTTATCCAAACACCAAAAAGCACATTGCATATATATGGAGGAAATATAGATATCAATATAAGACTATAGTACTTGAAAATATGGGCAACTAAATAATATCTTGTACTTGGAGACTGAACATGCAAGCGTATATGTATATAAAGAATTGTGAAAAAAATATGTAACGTTGATGGTCGCTATAGAGGTACTATTTTCTGTCTGCAAAACTTCCTAAATTCGAAAACATCTGGGATATACATCAGAAAAGGCATTAGAACCATACATGAGCAACTTGCAGGAAAGTGATCTGTGATATTAAACAGATTGTTCCACCACTTATATATGATAGTTATGGTGCCCAGAGATGGATGCAGACTATTCTGAAGATATTTTCCATTTTAATAACACAAAGATACATACGGGAAAGTTGATGATCAGTACCATACCCAGGCACTGATCAAATCTCTTGCTCCACTGACCTCTACTCAAGGTCATTCTATTAAATATATATATATATATATATATGTATATATAACATGTATATTTACAAGTACGTACTAACAGTAGTTGTTGTTATGTGTTGTTTTTCTATTTTATTTTGCTCCAGAAGATTCACCTTCATCTCATAAAATTACTGGAAAACTATTAGGGGCAAATGTATTATTTTCTCGATCCTTTTTAGATAAATATCCCGAAATGTAATTCTGACGGATATACAGCAAGAGCTCCGCGTGCCGGGACTAGTCCCCAGATCAATAGAAGATGATAAATGATCAGTAGAACTACGGATGGTGAGGATCATAATTGCATTGGTTCAATTATTATTGTTACTCTGTGATATTTGTGTACATGTTTGACTATAACTTATCAAATTTGCAGGAGATGGGCCTCCATGGCCATAAATCTATGCAGAGACATCCAACAACCATTACTACTACTATACTACTTGATGCAACTGTGACACGGTCATCAAAACTTGCCAGGCTGTTAATTATTGCCCGCGCAGCTAATAGTTTGATCTGTCTCTACTTCCATAGGTTTAGTTTACCGAGATGAGCTAAGTGTATATAAAGGGATATACACATATTTATGTACAATAATTGTGAATCTGAAGTTAATAATATTTGTAGATCATGTTCTCGATTAAAATGTCATTAGAGGTAAAAAAAAAAAACTTCTACGAATATGGAAAGCAAAGTTTCACAAGAAATCGGCGAAAAAAAACCCAAATTAAAACCTAAGCGAAAGCTAAATATGTGATCTATACATAAACTTTTGTCAATTTCTTTAGACGAGATACTAAAATTTAATTATCAAAATTTCAATCCAGGGCTCGAAATACCAAATAAATGGCTGGTGATTAGCCTTAAGAGCATCTCCAATACAATACTATAATTGATGTGTCAATTACAAATTTAATATTTGAGTGTAAAAAACACTCAAATGTAATGCTATTTGTTGTGTCAAACTTCTCATATGCTATACTTTGTGAAAAATCTCCCACCAAGTATATAGCAAATGAGAAATTTGACATTTGATTGCTATTGGTTGAAATGTTTACTTTTTAATGTAATAATTATAACTTTTACATTTTCTAATTATTTTAAGAGAGATTCTCTAGTACGCATCGCGTACCGGTAGGCTATGTTTTTTTTTAACAGTTGGATCTGCGTATTTTTTAACTTTACGTGATTTTATGCAGATCTGACAAATAAAAAACTTAGCCTACCGGTATGTTGGCATACCGGAAAATGTCCCTTTACAACTTTGAAAGCTTAATAATTATGAGAAAAAGTAGATTTAGCATGTCAAATAGCATTTTGTATTGAAGTAAAAATAGAAATAACAACCGCATCATACTTTTTGATGTTAAATATACAATTTACATTAACATTTGTATTGTAGATGGTCTAAATTGAGTACAACTAGTCGTGGTGGTATAGTGCGAAGAAGTTCTACTTAGCTCTTTCTCCTATCATCCATCCAGAGATTGATTCCCATTGTCTATTATGAAGCTGCAATTATGCATCTCCTTAGTCTGCTAAATATGTCTTGGGCTTATGTGATTTTAGATTCCCTAGATGTTAGTTGACAAAAGCATCAGCCTAACTTTTTTTCCTACCATCTGTGGTCTTAATAAATTGTCAGGCAACCACTAGCTGGGTCGCAGATGAGATACTTAACGGATATATGTAATTATACCACTTAATTACAGCCTTTTTAATGTTGGTTAGAAGTTGATCTACTAATTAAAATCCTGGATCCTTAATTACGATACTATGTACTTGAGCTGCAATTAATTATTAGATTTAAAATAGGTTAAATCTTTTTTCTCTTGATCCGACTAATTATTAATGCCAAAATCAATTAATTAAAGAGAAATTGTAGTAAATAGTAAATTTATGAAACTAATTAAGTAAATAGCATATTTTAAAACTATTTTAAGTTTTGAAGTAAATAACAAATTATCGATTAAATGTTTCTAAAGGGTGACTTATCTGTCAACTTTTCCACTATCACTCCCAAAAAACCAAACTCTACCTTACGTAAAGTTGCCAGAGTACGCTTAACCTCTGGATTTGAAATCACTGCTTATATACCTGGTATTGGCCATAATTTACAAGAACATTCTGTAGTCTTAGTAAGAGGGGGAAGGATGCATCTTTGATGCACTTGCTAGTACTAGTACATCTGAGAATTCTTAATCTTAATTGGATAGTTGTAAATAGCCCCAGACTGTGGATTATCCCGGACCTACGCTGAGGTATTGAAGGCGATTCTCAAATATCGCAGAACAGAATGTGATACGATGAGATAGAATGCAATAGAAACAAAGACACAGGGAACGGGTTACCTACTCTTAACAGTCAAAGTGACTGGTAAAGAAATCTTTATTTATATGGAAAAAATCTTTTTACTAGTTTTAAAAAGTAAATTTACGTGGAAAAAAAATATTTTTTACTAGTCATAAATGAAAAATTTATACGGTAAACTGTTATTTACTTCAAAAAGTTTTAAAATATACTATTTACTTAATTTAGTTTTATAAATTTGCTATACTACATTCTCCCTTAATTAAATGGCGTCTGTATTTCTGGTATGAAATATAGTGGTTGAATTTTATAAACTAGAAGGATATACATTGATCAATTTAGTCTGCTGAAAAAAGATCAAAGTCTATATTATCTTAATTTCCTCTATCAGTCACCAATTAAGATTTGATGGGATGCATTTGCGACAAAATTTAAAATACCTAACACTACTCCGAAGTGTTCTATTTGAATATAATACTCGATCGCTAACAATTTCAGGTCGAATTTCAGTACGTTATATGACACTCTCCCTTTATATCAAACTTCTCATGATGAATCATGACAATCGAGAAGCCGATACACAAGTATCCACATCAATGTCTAAAACATCACATAGAAAAGAATCTAACTATAAGAAAACTAGGAAATTAAGATAATATTGTACAAATAATATCGGAAAAAAGACACGGCCCATGGTTAGGACATAACGTATCAGTCTTAACATGTTATAATGAAAACCATGCAATATAGCATTTTGTATGATTTGTTTCTATTTAGAATACCTTATTTATTTAGAAGTATATTTCTTTCTCTTTTTTTTCCCTAGAATATTTAGTTAGAACACTTGATACAGAACATTATTACACAAATCATTGAAGATTTATGTCGACTAGGGTTTCCCAAGCTGAGTAAATATCTCTACTTCGAAATTCAACGACAATATACGTACAATAACACTAATGAAGTTCTCTTTTCCTATTCGTAGTAGAACATGGACAGTAGTATGAGTGATGATCCTATGGAAACCCTTGGACCGATTTAGGCGTTCTTACTTTATTGTTTGGAAGTTAAAAATTATGAAAACCTGTTCAAGTGAACGAACAATAATATTTTTTTTAATTAACCAATATTGAAAAATAATAGTAATTACTATTATGATTTTCAAATAGAGATCAAAATTCAGGCCACTCGGCCCTAAAGAAAACATGATCGGTCTAGCTAGATTCTAAAGCCCTAATGGCCTAGGGTTAGCACGGAATTTTACAAGGTATTTTAAAAAAAAAAATTAGAATGAGGGAGTTTGAGCTGGGCCGATCTGAACAAACTTTTGAGCTCGAAATCTCGACCCGCCCGGCCCTGATGTTAGGGTGGGACCTGACCGGGCATGGACCAATAGTGGCGGGCCTAAGGCTGACTCGTTTGACTCGGTTCAAATTTATAGCTCTATTTTCAAAAAATAATAGATATTTGGAAAACATGCACAACATTTATGGATAAGAACTCCTTTTTGGAGCTAAAAATGCACAAAGTTTATGGTAAACTACTAACTCTAAGATTTAACATCTTATTCATTTCACCGGTTTGAGTTTTCAATTCTAGTTTTGTTAAGTTAAAAGGTCTCACAAAAACTCACATTTAGATTTTTCTGCTCAGTTAAAAACTTTTACATAAAGCACAAACAACTCAAATTGAAAACTCAAATTAACGAACTGAATAAGACCTAATAAAAAATAAAATAAATTGAGTCCTACATCATTTAAACATACTAATAAATACCAACTTATAAGTATATTAGGCCACCATACGTAACATTTTTACCTTCTAAAATGAAAAATTATAAAGATGTACATGAGATGGTTTGATGTGTCATTTGATAGCCAGTGCTTAGTATAAATGCATAAGGGAATAAGACCACGTGTAGAACATGCAAGGGACATCTCCTGATCAAAATGTGTATGTATGTATATATATATATATATATATCCAAGAATTCACTGTGTGGGACAGTATGGAAAACTGAAAAAGCAAGAGAGAGAGAGAGGACAAGAAGAAAAAGAGAAAGAGAGAAAGGTCAGAAGAAAAGAAAAGCCCAAGAAACAATTTCCCATGAATGTTTGTTTTTTTTCAGTAGAAAATCCAGGTTTTCAACTAAATACCAAACATAGAAATAGCTTAAACTTGAGCTTAGGATATGTGAAATAAAAATCTCAGTGATTAACATGGTTTCAAACTCCGAAGTACATAAACAAACTCAGAAATCCAGAAGCTGCTGACTGATTGTACTTTAAATTTGGTTTCCCGGATGTTTTGCTTCAAAATCTTCAAATTCCCACCAACAACAAGGATTTCTAAGGAGTTGGTTTAATTTCTTTCAAGAATCTCTCTCGATTTTTTGGTGTTTCTCAGTGATTTTGACAAGAGAAAGGACTGGTGTTTTCCTGCAGAAAGTGAGGAAAAGAAAGAGAGGGAAACGAGAGAGAAAATATAGATAAATATATAAACTAAAGAGGTTGTTTGAAACCTCTAAGGGGACGTTTGGAAGGGGAATTCATGTCATGATTCGAATCATGGTTTATAGTTTGTTACACTATTTTTTTCACAAAAAATACACGTAAAACGATAATAATTCTGCATCATGGTTCTGAATCTATGAACCAAACGTCCCCTAAGAGTCTCAAGCGGTGCCTTAGGAAGCTGAATAGAACATTCCAAAATGTTCTACTGATGAAATCACGTGAGTTTGGGATAGCAATAATATAAGATTGCAAAATTCCTCAAAACCAGGATAAAAATGTAAGTTGATAAAATTGAGGTAAAAAAATTTCATATGCAAAATAAAAGAGTAATTATCTTTAAATTACTAATTTGGCACACTAATACATCTTAATTTCACATAATTAAGCACACTTAATCAATCCTAATTTTGTGGGCGTTACAAGTTCCCCTCATTTGACATACATGGTTTTAGAGTAGTAATTGTCTTAATACTAGTTTATCTAGCTTATGTATGTAACTATGTATGTATGTGTATACATTGTTTTTTGTTATAACTTTTTATCTGATTAAGGCAACAACTGCTCTATCCGTAGATGACTTGTGTTCTTGAAGATCATGGGAAGTTCTAAATCAGAGCCTTTGAAGAACAGTAATCAATTCTTTTTTATTTCATGCATAGCTACATACCTCAGCAATCATAGACCTTACAAAATCAGATGGAGTTATCATAATGCAGACTAGGTTTGCTTGCAGAAAAAATAATTTTTGTTTTTATAAGAACTTTCCTATTTTGGAACCATATGAGGCTTTTATTTATATTTTTAACCTTTTATTTGAATACGATATATTAAAAACTTCATCCAACTTTACATTACTTTTTAAACAATTAGAGCTTTTGACTTATTTACCACACATGTTCAAAAACTCTTCTCTCATATATATATATATATATATATATATATATATATTTCTATGCACCATTCACACAGTAATTAAAAAGTTCCAGCTGAAACTTTTCTTTCTCTACTGCTTAATAAAAGTAAAAGCACAAACACACCGAAACGGGCCCTAGACCTCTCAAGGTTATCTTTACATATATTTAAGTTCATATTATGGAATTTGCTAGTTTATTGGTTGGTACTTTTTGAGAAATTTGCTGGTTATTATCTATGCGTGTTCTCAGGCGATTGAAACTCAAATTTATAAATGAGCATATAGCATATACTAGCTTGACTTCAAATGCATTTGTGCTTAATTATTCAACCGCGCCCGCGATCTCTGCCATTTTTTGCCTTTTTGTTAGGTCATGGTTGACTTGGCATGTCCCATATGGACAAGAGATATTTCGTATAGCTACTTGCAGATTGAATCCATAATATCAACTAGAGAAACAAAAAAAACAAAACAAAAAATCAAGCCAAGCCCCCAACTTTGGCATTGGATTGAGGGCGTGCATTCAGGCACTCAGCTCAAAAGAAAGAAAAAAGAGCAAAGTTTGGACAACTTCTTTGACACAACAATCAACACATATGTGGAAACGTTCCACCAAGAGTTATCTCTGAGAAATTAAACAAGTTGTAACTCAAGACAACAAGAGAAGATATGCATCTTAGGGTATGTTTGGTACACCATATAAACACTCTGTATTGTATTATTTAAGAATAATATAATGTTTGGCAACATTTCATACATTGTATAGTTTAAAACGAAATTCAAATTTAATACAATACATAGTGTGATATCTAATACGCATAAAAACCTATGTATTACATCGTATTATGTAATTTAATTTTCTAAAACATATAAACTATTTTACAAATATCAAGAGTCGGGATCGGGTTTTGGGACCGACGCCGAGGTTAAATTTTGGGATCGAAGCGATGTTTGGTCTATATTTTTAAAAAATTACACCTTGACCCCTCAATTTCTTAGAAATTATATTTTGACCCCTCAATTTTTTTTAAAATATAACTTTGAGCCCTTAACATTTTCAAAATTATATTTTGACCCTAAATCTTTTTCTAAATTATTATTTTATCCCTCAAATTTTTAAACAATTTGACCACATTTTTAAAAATATTTTTGTAAAAATACCCTGCCCACTCCCAATGTTAGATTTGGATTGAGATTGGAGCCGAGTTACATTATGATTATACTAAAATTTTATCCAATTATAAACTAATACGTAAATACAATATGATGGTAAACATAGTATAATGTAATGTACTAGAAACCAAACACAATATCATATAAAAATTATACAATACAATATAATATGGTGCACCAAACGTGCCCTTAATTAACAAACTAATGTTCAAAACATACTAAGGAATTGTTCTATAAGAATGTACTATACAAACAAGCTTACATTTTATTAAGGAAGAATCTGCAACATACAAGAGGAGAACAGAAGTATAGTAGTAGAACCAACATACAATCTATAAGGGTATATAGTAGTAGTACTACCTAGCTGAGGGAGTACTGATTTCGGCACTAAAATTAATACTCATCAAAGGTATCATTGGAGTTGTATCTCTTGATTCGGGACTTTGAAAACGTTCCTTTGTCCGTACAAGTCCCATTTCCAAAGATTCTTTTAGTTCTCCCACTACTTGACTCATTGTTGGTCTTTCGGCAGAATACTGAGAAACACAGTTCATTGCTATTTCAACAATTTTCCACGCTGAGTTAACATCGAAATTTTCCTCTAACCTTGGATCAACAATGCTTTTGATGTTACCCTTTTGAAGCATATGCTTAACCCATTGGCTAAGGTGAATGTTCTTAGAGGATTTTGATATGGCAGGTCGACCTGTGATGATCTCCAACAGTACGACTCCAAAACTATAAACATCACTTTTCTCATTTAGCCTGTTTGACATGTAGTACCTGCAATCCAAATCATTCATCCAGCTTCAATCCCACCATAATTTTGACCACTTTTTTGTTCAAGAAAGTAAAAAATGCATCTTTCTTTGTCACATGGAATGGAAACGTTATATTGGAGAATATTGTAAGACTTTACAACATTTAATATTCAGTATAGAACAAGTATTTCAAAATGCATGCCAAAAAAATTTAGAATATTTTCATTGATATGTTTTTCCATTGATAACATAAAATTTGAATAATTAATTTTACAAGTTAAATTAATAAGAACCAAATTGAGTACTTACTCAGGATCAAAGTACCCAGGAGTACCAGCAACTACTGTAGATACATGACTCTCCTCATAATTTGGGATAATTCTAGATAACCCAAAATCCGATAATTTCGCTTGGAAACTTTCATTCAACAAGATATTGGTCGTCTTTACATCTCTATGGATTATAGGAGGCTTACAGCCATAGTGCAGATACTCCAATCCTGTGCACACATATATAAAAAATTTGCACGAGATGTTGACAAACCTTAGTTCATAATGTATGCTAAAGTGCAAGAGGGGGACAGAGATATTCTTTGCATACCGTGCGCTGCGTCTGTTGCAATTAGTAGTCTGTCTTCCCATTTTAAGATATTTGAGTTGCTACCTACATGTTTAAGAAGAAACGATTGTCATTACTACTATTATTTTTGTAGAAGTATAATAAATTTAATTATAATTCCAAAAATCCAAATAAGTAAATTTTTTTTATTTTTTTATTTTTTTATTTTTTTATTTTTTTTGCCTTTTTCAACAGATTTCTTAAATTTGGAGGTATTTTCCCATGGATTTTTGGTCACAGAAATTTTTCTAAATAAATCATATAGGAGCCAGCTTTAATTAGAAAAAACACGAGTATCTCAACTAAGTTCACTCACAAACCTCCAACCAATTCTATGTTGAATTACTAACTTTCTATGCAAATTATGTTGTTGCCAAATTAACCTGAAAGATGTTGTTGCAAGTTTCCATTGGCCATGTATTCGTAGATGAGAGATATGTTCTTTTCATCATTGCAATATCCAACAAGGCTTGTTAGGTTTTTGTGATGAACCCTCATCAATAGATTAACCTGCAGTTTAAAAACTTATACCTTCAGAGTTAATATATATGATTAAATACCCAAAAAAAAAAAAAACTAGAAATTAGAAACAATTATTTGTTTCAGTTACTAATGACATGCCTCTGCCTGAAACTGGTGATATCCTTGACCAGATGATACAGAGAGGACCTTCACAGCTACTTGAGTATTATTTATCTGGCCGTAGTACACTTTTCCGAAACCACCTTCACCAAGGATTCTCTCAAAAGCATCGGTGATGGTGAGTATCTCCGAATATGAAAAGTGTCGTTTTCTTGCATCAAGTGACTCATTTTGGAAGCTTGATTTAGCATCTACCACGAGCATATCAGATCATGAACGTTGTGTTATATAAATATTGCAGAGATAGGTTCATTTATTTATTTTTATTTTTTTTTGTGACGTATGAATCCTTAACATTATGTTCTGTGGCAATTGAGCCAATTTAAAATAGTCAAAGGACCAAACAGGTGGCTATTTGATATCTTACCCCGGCGATGTCTTTTCCTCGTTAACTCGAACCAGAATGCTGCCGCAGTTAGTAGGAGAATAATAGCTCCACCAACTGATGCTGCAAGTACAGGAACAAGTACAGACTTTTTCTTCTCTTTGCAAGAAACCTTTGAAGATAAATTTGGATTTCCGCAAACCCTGGCACACATGAAATGTACATGATACATGGCTACTCAAATAAGATCTATCTGAACGACTATTAGTACTGAACATTATTTTTGTGAAATAGTACTTGCTCCATTTGAGAGAGAGTGTGTACCTTAATGAAAGCAATCCGTCCTTCAATCTCTGTTCGATTTCAACCGGAACTGAACCTCCGAGGTTGTTGTTCTCCAAGTTTCTGCCGAGGGTATACAGCAATGAAAATTCTCTCAGAAACACATTGAATTAAGGAAGGATTTGCGAGTTAAACTGATAAGCGTTAACTATAAAGTTGGAAACACATACAGGACTTTCAACTTTGGCAATTGAGATAAAAAGGCTGGTATTGATCCTGTTAAATTGTTGTTTGATAAATCCCTGTTTGAAGTGAGACCAGATTTAATCCAAGATAGGCATAACCAAACTATAAAGGAAGTACATGAGTATATATACTTACAGAGTGGACCATTACAAATGTTCAATCCAACATATGTACTTACAGAGTTTGTATTTCTGTGAGATTGGATATGGAAGGATATACACTGCTGGTTAATCCGCTTGAGGACAAGTCCCTGATCCATTAACATTGAGTAACTTTAGTAGAAACTAGTGAAAAGAATTGATCTAAATAGTCAACTAGTTTATGTAGATGATTTGGTGATAATCATACTCACAAAGATATGACTCTTGGCACTTGCGGCTTCTTATCATCGTCATAGCTACATTCTATACCTTCCCACAAATACACTTTGGGGAGACATGGATCTCCTTGCCAGTTTCTTTTCATGCCGTAAGTTGACTTTATGATCGTCATGGCATTAGCTAATGCAGATTAGACTAAATTACTTAATGGGGATAAAACTAATTATTCATCTTGTCTGAATGGCTAAATGCATACCATCATAATGTGCATTATGGATACTATAGTATAGGAAACCAAAAATGATGTACCAAATAGGAAGAGTATTTGCTCACCATCTTGTTGGTCTGTTTCTGATTGTGGGAATTCTTTTCGCACATAAACCTCCCACGCATTAATGATGGGTGGCAGGGTTGAATTTGGAGTCTTAGAGATTTTAATACTATGCGCTCCTCCGATTAAAGCAGTTGGGCTGTAGATTGTTTCTGCTCTTAAGTAAGCAGGAGAGAGTGGTCCATAAAAGAACTCTCCGTTGTGAAAAATCTCGAATGCTCTAGATTGGTTGGCTTGGAGCTTCTTGACTTCGGCAAAGTGCATGTAGACAAAATATGCAGAAGTATTGTCAGGATCATCAGATGGTACCTGCCAACTAATATCCAAGTAATTGATGGTTTTTGGCATGGCGGCAGTTCTCATAACCACCGGCGGCGGTTCTAGGCTAGTGCCAGAGACATCAACGATGCTTGACGTGTTTATATTTGTCCAATCATCACGTTGGAGGAAAGTCCAAAATCGATCATGGATATCATCACCATACCTATCATAGAAATATTATTTCTTCAGTAAATCGCGCGTGTACAAATAAACGCAAACTCTCAGTCTACATATCATCTGTCTTATTTATCGGTCCAACAAATTAGTTTTGACATGTTAACCAAGTGATTGAGATTTTTATAAAGTTCTTACTTTTTGAAGTGAAATTTTATTTATTGAATTGAAAAATAGGCAGTGCATAATTCAGGGGAACAATTTGCATTCCGTACACATGCGCGCACTCATACATACTGTAAAAACGAAGATCAATGTCTGGTGATCACCTATACGCTTCTGTAGAACCAGCGTCGATCCTTTGTATTGAAAGCAAGGAGTAGCCCGTTTCTGCCTGATAAGAAGTGTTGAACAAAGGCCTAAATTCCAGTGAGGATATAAATGGAATTCCATCTCCCGTCTTAGCCAGGCAAACATGGACATAGTTGCGCCGAGGGACATGTATGATCTCCTTAATTACAGGCTCCAACGGGCTTGTAAAAATGACTGAATCCCACATATCGGTCCCCAAATATAGGTCGAATGCGGGTGGCTCACCTTGTTTATCATAATTTCCGTAAACGAACAGAGCTCGGATCATATATTTGCCCCCTCTTATGATCCCGATAACTTTGTAACAGTTCCTGTCTCCTTCAGGAAAGCTCCTAAGAGACTGGTAGTAACGTGCATAGTTCTTTTGGTACTCGGGTAATATATACTCATTTTTACCGGTGTCGATGAACGCCGCGTCTGAGGTGTAATTCAAGCCTCTAACCGGATCGGTATAGTTGGATACATTAGGTAAGCCACAATCTATGCTTATAAACCCTGAGACATAGTATATTAGAGATATGCAAAGGACAGAATATTAAGAGATGTATCTATATATGTGTGTGTGTGTAAAAACAGTTTTGTTTCGACCGAAGACATGACCTGAATTCGAAGATTGATTTTAATAAAATATTCATACCTGATTGATCTTCTCCACAGACCGCAAGAGCAGAAGCGAAAATCATAAGAGAGATAAGAAAATGCTTGAAAGTAAGCAACATCATGATACTTTTCTGGGCCGCGAACACTAAATGATGAGAGAGAAGAATAGAAAGTTAGTTATTATAACTTGTAGCAAAAACAAGTGAAGTCTACTCTTGTCTAGATAATCTTTCATTAGTCTTAACCACACAGTTATCATATCTCCCCTTTCAATTAGAAGATCATAAAAACTTGATCTTTAACCTAGTAAAATCTGGTAATATTACAAAAACAGTACTTTTTCAGAAAATAAGGAAAAAAAAAAAAAAAAAAGCCAGCTTAGTCCAGGATATATCATAGCATGCTAAAACCCTTACCAGCAAAATGGGAATGAGGAAAGAGGAACTGTGTACACTCTAAGAAAACATGCAGCGCCTCTAGCGCTTGATCCATGGCTTCTGAAGAAACTGCCCAGTTCTACTGCGCTGTTCACGCTGTAAATTACAAACGTTAACGGCACACAAAGAGTTAAACAAAGTAATTGAATTGACCAAGATGAACTAACATACTTCTTTGCTAATCCAAGCACTTAGTGGAGTAGTCCTTAAGGCTAACACTCAAGGTCTTTGATCTAAATTTTCCTTCTTTTTTTTTTTTCTCTCTCTCTCTCTCTCTCTCTCTGAAAGCTCATATAGATTGACGCACACATATATTTTAAGCCATATATCCTGCACACCACACTATAGTTGATAACATTTAATGTCTCTAAAAGTAGAAAGCTGACCAATATCGGCGGCTTGTATCGTTGACTCGTAACTAGCCAGTCAACAGCCAATTCCAATAATAATTTCACCATGAAATGGCCCATGATCAAGATATTGGAGCTGGTAAGCTTTGATAAGATACTGAAGGAGGAAGTGAAACCTACAGAAGTACCACTTAAAGATGAAACCGTTAATGGCGGCAACAGGTGTATTTCTTGCATAAAATATATATATGGAGAATTCTTCAAATTCTACTTCGAAATGACAGAGGAACTGAACCACCCAAATTTTGACATGGAGTATAGCATATGTCAGGTTTTGACATTTAATTACTATTGGTTAATATATAGATGTTTTTACTTCAATATAGCGTTTGAAATACCATAATGCATTAGAGAACAAAGTAGAATATCATTTAAATAAATTTTACTTTTCACATTTTTGATGAAATATATAACATTGTTATTGTCATAATTTGCATTAAAGATGGTGATATTGGCTTAGTTTGGTAGTGCTGTAGATTTTGAAAAAATTGCTTGTAGCTGTGCTGAAGGAAGAAGTAACTGTTATAAAAAGTAGCTGAGTGTTTGGTAAACTATAATTATAGTAGCTGTGCTGGTTTTAAAATCAGTGTAATAGCGTTTGGTAAATTGTGAGGTTGAATTGCTGTGGATAGTTAAAAACTATGACTATATTATATTATATTATATTATAATATATATAATTATAAT